GGTAGTTTAAATAATAATAATAATAATAATAATAATAATAATAATAATGATGATGATGATAATGATGATGATGGTGATGATGATAATAATAATAATTTTTTTTTATTCGTTTTCAAATGTAAAATTTTATTATAACTTTTTGTAACAGATGTGGTTGTGGATTCGTAAAAATTAACCCCTGGTTTTTTTTAATGGGAAATCAAAAAAAAAAATTAGGGGGGATGAAAATTTCAGGGTGGTGATTTTCTAAGGTTTCAAATTATTTTTAAATGAAATAATTTTTTATTATCACGATAATAATGATGATGATGATGACAATTAATAAATTTTATTTATCGAAATAAAAAAATTTTAAAGTAAAAGTTTTTTTTTCCTTCTTTTTTTTCATTCAAACGTTAAAATTTAAAATGAGAAAGAGAGAGAAAGAGAAAGATAGAGAGAAAGAAAGAGAGAGAAAATACGTGTCAGAATAACAAAAAAAAAATGAAAATTAATTTTTTTTTTTTTTATTAAAAACAATAAATTTTTTTTAATAAAAAGAAAAAATCTGATTTTTTTTACAATTCGTTAAATTTTTTTTTTATAAAAAAAAGAAAAAAATTTGTTTAATTAAAAAAAGTTACGGTAATTTTTTTTTTTTACTTTTACTTCTCATTAACTGCCGTTTGGATTTTAATATTATTAAAATCTTTAAACGATTACCCCTCAATAATAATAATAATAATAATAATAATAATAATTATTATTATTATTATTATTATTATTATAATAATTAATTTAATAAATGGATAAAAATAAAACCAGAATTTCCTTCTCCCCCGGTAAAAACTTAAAAATTTATCAAAGCATTCTATGATGAACGATTTCAAGGTCATTTAATGAAAACAAAAATTAAGGTCTCAAGGTCACGTGAATGGCACGTGAATTTTATCATTTGGCCCACGTGCCAAAAGAAAAAAAATTTCTCAATTATTATTTTTATAAATAAATGATTTCGTTTTGAGTTTTTTTTCCCCTTCCCCCCATTACGTCATCAATGCATTTAAAAGGTTGGCACTACTGCAAAAATAAAACAATACGTATCCTTTCGTAACATAAAAACAAAAAATACGGGAAAATGGGGGAAGGGGAGGGGAAAAAAATAAAATACTTTCACGCTGGTAAATCTATTTTTTTTTTTTTTTTTTTTGAAGTGGAATTAGAATATGTACGTATATATAAAATAAAAGGTTATTGATTCTCTCGGGAGAAAAAGCATATAAAAAGGATGACGTTAAACCTTTTTCATAGTAGTAATAATAATAATAATAATAATAAAAATAAAAACTGATCATTAAGATATGAAAAAAAAAAAAAACCCTTTCAAACACGTATATAATTAAATACAAAACGTTTTTTATTGGCAATTACGCAAATCATTTGAGAACATAAATTTTTTTTTTTTTTTTAATTTGGTATTTCGTAAAAGTCCCCCCTTTCTCTTACCTTCTCTCCCCCTGTCCTCCCTCTTCCTTTTCTCCCCGCCCCCGCTCAGCTCCATCCCACCCCGCTCCGCCTTGAAATGGTCATGCGGAATGACTGTATCATTTTATAATGTCCATATATATACCCTAATGCTCCTGCTCCTGTTTCCTGCTCCCGCTCCCGTTAAAACGCGCACAAACTCACGCACGTACGCACACACGCACACACTTTTCAATTAAAAAATAAATATAAATTGAAACACATGGGAATCGAGAACATTATTTTTTTTTTTTTTTATAAAAAAATTTTTATGAACATTTTTTATTAGCCATTGTCGTGACGTCATCGTATTACTTCGACTGGAGGGAAAAAATGAACAAAAAAAAATTCAAAACCTATTCCCGTTGTCGTTCATCTTCAATTTAATGCCTGATTTTTAAATTGAATGTGACAATAAATGGTTGAATAAACATATTTTAAATTTTATGTTTTTTTTTTTTTTAAGATCCCCTCCTGGAGATTTTTCCATGCAGTTCCATAAAAAAAAAAAAAAAAAAAAAAAGCGAAATTTTTTTAAACAAACGTTATTATTATTTTAAATTATAATAAATTGATTCTCTTAACTTTATTATCATTATTATTAAATTCCTTCAGGTCAATTTAACGAGTAAATTAGTTTATAATTTTATAATATTTAAATAGAATAATGACGATGACGATGATAATCATGATAATGTTGATGATGATGATGACGATGATGATGATGATGACAATGATGATGATGATAATGATGATGATATAGTTCTGTTTTTTGGATTTTTTTACACGGAATAAAATTTTTTTTTTTTTTAATTTCATTATTTTATCATCATTATTCCTGTCGTTGTTTTTCTAATTCGAAAAAAAATGTTTTTTGTAAGGAGTTTTTGTTATTTAGTATAAAATGATAAAATTTTTGAAGTAGTTTGGCTTTTCCAGTTGTTTTTTCCCGTCCTTTCCCATGAAAAAACCTAATTTTTCTTAAAGTAAACACAAATTTTCCGATTTAAATTTCAGATGTGCACCCCCCTGCTTCTAAATGACGTCAGCACGAATATGAACAATTATTTTTTTAATAAAATATTTAATATATCAAAAGATGAAGTTTTTACCAAAATTGTGAAAACAAACAACAAACATCTTTCAATTCTTTTCAAAAGTTAAAAATTGATTTCATTTTTTGTTTTGTTTTATTTTTTATTTTTTAAATCCTTTTTTTTTTATAGTTACCTTCGTTTTTCAAATCACAAAAGTTTTTTTTTTATGCCAAATTATAAAAATATTTTCATCTTTCTTTTTTTTTCCCTCTGACGTTTTTCGTCTGCTCCGATTACAGCAGAAAAAAAATTTCCATGAGATTTTATTTAAAATTTTTTTTTTTTTTTATCGTTAAAATTTTACAATAACTCTTCCTAACAAAAAATAATAATAAAAAAACTTATAACCAATACGTATAAATTTAAAATGGAGAACATTTTCTCAATAATCAGAGTTATATATACATATAAAAATTTTCCCGCTTTTTTTTTTTTTTTTTTTAAATTCTTTATTTTTTACCTAAGGGCAAAAAAAAAAAAATTTTTTATTGGATTCTTTTGGAATGAAAACTTTTCAGACGTTTTTTTTTTTTTTTTTTAAACTCATTTTTGATTATTTTGATATTTTTTTCCCTTTAAAAAATATATACGCTTCAATTATTATTATTATTATCATTATTATTATTATCGATGTCGGAAAATAATGAAATTATACATCATTTTAAAATGTAAAAAAAAAATTTTTTTTCTTTTTTTTTTTTTTTAATAATATCGAGTGGTTTTAATTTAGTGGGGAGGGCTAGGAAGGGAGGGCGTAGAGGGGAGGGAGTTTGGGGAGGGATTCATTTTTTTTATTGTTTTGCTTTGGGTCAATAAGATCATTAAATAAAATAAATGTTAAACTCAAACCGTACATACACGAAAATGCTTTTATTCTTTTTTATCCTTCCCTATATGTACACGTTTAAAGTTCGCCATTTTTTTTTTCGTCTCTTTAAATAAAAAGAAAATTTATTTATTTATATTATTTGTTTAAAAGAGAGATAGGTACCGCGACATAATGGGAGTTAAAAAAAAAAAATTCGTTAATTTATTTATTATTATTATTATTATTATTATTATTTATCGATGAAAAAGGTTCGATTTTTTTTTTTTTTAATATTAAGATATAAAAAAAAAACCGTTAACTTTTTAAAGTGGTTTTTAATGATGGTAAAAAAAAAAATTTTATTTTTTATATATATAAATTTTCTTTAGAAAACAATATAAACAACAAAACAAAATGGAAAAAGTTATAAAGTTTTAGGGCGTAAAAAAGAAAAAAAAAATTTCTATAATAATAATAATAATAAATTGATAACATTGAATGTTGAACCAATGGGAAGAAGTTTGAGTAAATTTTTCAATGGAAGATTCATATAACGCGCGGTTAACATTAGAGACGATGAAATTTCATCCATTAAAATGACGCTTCTGGATAAAAAAAAAAAAAAAATCGTGACGTGAAAAAAGTAGGAAGAAAAAGTAGAAGAAGAAGAGGGGGGAGAGAGAGAGTGAGAGAGAGAGGAAAAAAATAACTTTGAAAAAAGTTTTTAATAAAATTATATATAAAGTTTACGAGAATAAAATTATTTTTCATTTTTTACTTTTTATCAAAAGAAAAAAAAAAAAGAATTTGAAAAACTTTTAATTCTATTAAAAAAAAAAAAAAAGGAAAGAAAAAGGAAAGAAAAAAAAGGAAAAATTGGGTATGAAAATAAGGATGAGTAGAAAAGGTTAGAAAAAAAAGTTCATCTTTTCATAAAAAAAAAAAAAAAAAATTTTTCCAAGTGACAAGGAGGGTAAAAATATTATAAAAGAAAATTTTTTTTTTTTTTTTTACGGGGAGCCAGGTGTGAAAATGATAAAAAATTGCAATTTATATGCTTCAAATGAAAATTTAATGGGGGGAGGAAGAGGAGGAGGAGATGTGTGTGTGTGACGGGGGAGGGGGGAAAGGCAGAAAGAAAAAGGACACTGAAAAAAAAAATAAGAAAGTAATAAACATGTTAATAAAAAAACACCGTACCATAAACAATTATTATTATTATTATTATTATGTTAAACATCGTCTGCTTTACCCTTATTTATAAATTTCGTCTGCTTCTGTGTTTTTGTTATTTATTTAAAAAAAAAAAAAAAATTTTCACGTGAGACATAAACAATTATAAATTATTCGCGAGACGTTTCGCGCCGTGCCGCCTTTTCTCTTCTCTCCTATCCCCCCTCCCCTCATCCAACCCACCCCCTCATTTTCTTGATTTTGAGGTACAAAAAGTAATTTTTATTTATAAAATTTTTATTTTAAATCACATTAAAGGATCGCGTTTAAAAAGTGAAAAATCTAAAAATGATTTTCACGTCGGAAAAACTTTTTGTTGTCTTATTAAAAAATCAACCGAGTCGAAATTTTTTTTTTTTTCATAACTTTTTTTAAGAAAACTTTATTACGTACATCTACTTAACGTAACCTACTAATCATCTTATACACACGCACGTCCGATGTCTTATCATCATCAAGGATGGGAGAAAAAAAAAAAAAAAGAAAATTTTAAAACTTACATCGATTGTTAAGCCATCCAATGGAAATATTTTAATTGGAAATTCATCTTTAGGTGTGTATCGGAAAAATTCACTTCTACCTTTGTACCATTTAACCGTATATAAAAGGTCACCTTCGAGGTCAAAATCGCACATAAAAACGGCCGTTTCACCTCTTTTAATGGCTTGTGGGACGGAGACTCTAACATCTTTTAAACATTCGATAAAACCTGGAAATAAATAAATAAATACCTTTATTATTTTCGCCATTTTTTATTTAAACGATAAAATTTATTTATTTATTTAAAATAAATATATTATTTAAATAATTAAAGTTTATTAATTAATAAAGTTTTAATAATTTATAGTCGAAATCTTTTTTTTCTGGTCGATTTAAATATTTAAAAAAAAAAAAAAAGTTTTTCCGTGCATTTTAGGTGTTAGAAAAAAAAAAAAGTTTTTTTTCCTCCCATTCCCACTTTCTCTCCCCCCCTCTCTCTCCCTCACTTTATTTTTTCTTCTCTCATTAAATACGTAAAAAAAAAAAGAAAACATTTTTATAAAAAAAAAACAAAAGTTTTTAATTCTATTCTTAAAGTAACAAAAAAAAAAAGTTTTCTTTCGCCCATTAAACATGAAAACTTTTAGGTGGGAAAAAAAAAACTTTTTTATAAAAATTCAATCGCCTACTTCCTTTAAAAAAAAAATTTTCTCTTTCCAGAAAAAAAAAAAAAAGAAAAAATTGGCCCATCGCTATTTTCACGTTTTTCTCATTAAAAAAAATTTTTTTTGTCCCCCTACAATTATTATTATCATCATTATTATTATTATTATTTATATATTATAATTAGAAAATTTTTTTACGTTCGTTTCCATTCGGAAAATTTTATTCCACACACACACACACACGCACGCAGAAAAAAAAAGAAAAGGTTCGACGATGAAAGAGATTTACACATACGTAAGGGGACTCATCCAGAGAAGAGAGAGAGAGTGAGTGAGTGAGTGAGAAAGAAAAAAAAGGGAATAAATTCTATAAAAATACACGTCATAACCAAATGTCACATGAATTTACTTTTTATGACTTCTTCAATTGATTACCTCAACTCAAGCACGAATTTTTCTTAAGAAATATATATATTGAAGTAGTAGCGAAATTTTCTTTTTCCTTTCTTCCGGTTTTCCTTTTTCAATTTTTTTTTCCTTCCGGTTTCTCTCAAATTTTTTTTTTTTTTTTTATACGAAACCAACATTTTTTAAAAAAATAAAAATAAAATTAACCTAACCGGATGCGAATAAAAGAAGAAAAGATTTTTTCATAGAGAAAAAAATCGTTTGCGACGTTGCATGTTTTACACCGTAATAATATTTTACACGTACGGTCATTACATATCTATATATCACGTTTAAAAATCACCGGAAGGTTATTACAGAATTTTTTTTTTTTGTGTTTATTTATTTATACTTAAGGAATTCAGGTAATTAAGAAAAATAAATTAAAATTGCTTAAAATCAACCCTTAATGGAAGAAACCTTCCCCCCCTCTCCCCCCGCCCCAAAGGCGAAAAAACCCCCTTTTTAAAATAATATAATTCAAAGGTGTGGAACCTTTTACGTGAGGGTTAAAAAAAAAATTACTTCTCCAGATGTTTAAACGGTTAATTTCCTACATAACCTTAAAAAAAAAAACTTATTCTTATCTTCTCCAATATTCGTTCCAGCATTTATCTCTCTCCCTATCTCTCTCTCCTTATCTCTCTTTCTCTTTTTATACATCCATGTTAGTAAGTTTAAATGCATTTTCCTCGCTTTTAATTTTGATAAAAAAGGCGGTTATCGATATTATTGTTGTTTAAAAACGAATGCGGATTCAATGATGACGTAACGCGATTCGATTACAATTAGAAGGAAAAAAAATAATTTTTCTAATTCCACGTACAAAAAATTAAATATAATAATAATAATGATGATGAGGTTATCGATCGATTTAAAAAAAATAAATTTTTTTTTTTTTTCCTTTATAGATGGGACGAATTAAAAAAATAAAAAAATAAAAAAACCTTTGAATTAAATTTAAAACGATGATGATAATGATAATAATGATAATGATGATGATGATGATAGTGTTTTTAAATATTTAAAAAAAAAAAGGAAAAAGAAAATTTTTCAAAAGAATAAATTTTTCCCTCGGCAAAAACCGTCGCTGACTGGCATCTTAAAATCAAACAAAAACCTTTTAATGGAATCAGGAAATGATTTTTTTCCTTTTTTTTTATACGTTTTTTCAACCTTTATTCTTTTTTTTCCTTTCACGTAAAAAAAAAAAAGGGTTTCATCGATAGAATCTAAAGGATACATAATTTTTCCTTTTTTTTTCCTTTTATTTATTCACTAATGTAAAATAAAATTTAAAAGATGTAAAATTATTTTTTTTTTAAAAAAGAAATTTTTCGTATAAGAAAATTCTTATATTAAAGGTTCGTGTGTGTGTGTGCGTGTGCGTGTGTGGTCACGTTTATGCCCGTTGGGCCTTTTCTCGAAAAAAGGGCCCAATATATTTAATTAAAATTATGCGATTTGTAAAAAACAACTTTAGTTTTTAATTTAAAATTGAAACTATAATTATATATATATATATATATATATATATAAACATTAAAAAGAATTCCCCCCTCCCCCTCCCCGTTTTCTTTTTATTTAATATATATAAAAAGAATTACAAAATTCAAAAGTTCATATTTAAAATATTAAAGTTATTAAACCTTTTTACGTTTCCCCATTTTCAATATATATATACCCTTATTATTATTATTAAAATATTATTATTATTATTTTTTCCTCCTCCTCCTCCTCCTCCTCGTTCATTTTATTCATCACCGACGTTTCTGTTATCATTTAACCGTTTTTTCTTTCTTTTTTTTTTTTACTTATTTGAACATTTAAAAAATAAAATATAAAATAAAAATTTTCTTATTTCCGTGTGTAATTAAGTAAACAAACAAACAAACAAACAAACAAACGAGACAACCACTCACCACGACTAACAATAATAATGTTCATTGCCAAAGGCAATTAAGGACGAATCGCCTTATCAAATAACGCATGAAAGATTTTAATGGTTTCATTCATTCTTTCTTTTCCTTTTTTATTTTTTTTCTGTAAAATATTATTATTATTATTATTGTAATCATTATTATTATTAGTATTAGTATTATGGGAAGAGTGAGAAAAATTAAAAGAGAGAGAGAGAGAGAGAAAAAGAAATTTATTTTCAGATATCTGAAAATAAAATTTTTTGATAATGGAAAATTTTGTTAAATTTTAATAACATTATTATTATTGAGTTTGAAATTTTTTTCTTTTCCATTTTTCGTTTTTTTCGGGAGGAAAAGAGGGAGGAGGGAAATGTGGGGAGAGGGGAGAAGGGGGAAAGGGAATAAAAACCGCAGGAACAAAAAAAGGAGGAAAAAAATTATTTATTCAAATCGAATAGTTTACAAAAAAAGAAAAAAAACGTTGAAATAAATTTTGTTTATGCGGTCAAAAAATTAAATTTATATTAAAAATTTAAATCATTTGTTTTTAATGTATTAATTAACTTTCAGAATATTAATCGTAGCAAAATAAAAAGCAAAAAAAATTTATTCGAGAGAGCAAATTTTGTTGAGAGCAAATCACAATCGAAAAATATTAAAGAAGGATAATTTTTTATTCTTTAAAAAACAAAACGTTTGCGCGATCCTTTTTTTTTATATTTTTTCTTTTTTTAAATAAATTATTATTATTATTATTGTCGTAGTCTATTCTGATTGGTCGTTTATCTTCGAAAAATTAAAAGTCGAGGTTAACTATTTAATTATATATAAATATTCAAAAGTTTAAAGAAACTTACTAGACTCGTTATTTAAACGGAAAAAAAATAAAAAAAGTTTTAATAAACAATTTAACGAACAAACTAGCAGCAGAAACAAAAGCAGACGACAACAACAATTAATTTTTTTTTTTTTTTTTTCATCATTAAAAAATCAATTTCGTAATAGGAAAAAAAATCGATAATAATAATAATTATTTATTTTGATTTCACGTAAAAAAATGTTTTTTTAAAAAAAAAAAAAAAAAAAAAGTTGACAACAACAACAAAAATATTTTAACTAATGAACAACAAAATTAAATAAAAGTTTTTTTATTTATTTATTTTTCATCAAAAATTAATTAATTTAAAATTCCAGAATTTCAATGCGGTTCCAACAAACAATAGACTGACTAAGTCAGAAAATTCAATAACAACCAAAATGATGATGCCCGGTTTGTCGTGGGATACAAACAAAAATCACAAAAACAATTCACGATTTCTTTACAAAAAAAAAATTCTTTTTTTCATCAAAAAAAAAAAAATTTTATTCGACTGACACAAAAAGAGAGAGAGAGAGAATGAGAAAGATGAGAAACATTGAGAGAGAGAGAGAGAGAAAAAAAAAAATAATAATTTAACCGCAAACAAAAATAAAAAAAAAAAAATTTTTTTTTTGTTTGTTTACCTGAGGATTAAATGATGAAAAACAGTTTTCAAATTTTCAAAATGGAAGTAAAAAAAAAAATGATACCCTTATCATTATTATCATTATCATTATTATTATTATTTTTAATTTTTTTAAAATTATCATTTTCAATATTCATCGACAACGACGACGACAACTACGATAATAATAATAATAACGTAAAAAATAAAAATAATATCCGTATTTTTTTTTTTTTTTGAAAATTATAACCTGTCGACGACAATTTTTTGACGTGAATCTGTCAAATGTTGAATAAACAAACAAACAGACAGACAAACAAACAAATAAACTCTCGTCATTTAAATGGCACCAGGACAGATTTGACAAAAATATATACATATACATCAACTTTACTTTTCAATCGTCATTATTATTATTATTATTATTATTATTATTATTATTATTATTATGAAGCTTCAAAAGCAAAAAAAAATATCGATTATGTTTCAAATGATTATTTAAAATGTAAAAAAAATGAGAGAAAGAGTGAAAGGAAGTGAGTGAGAGAGAGGAAGAGAGTGAGCGACGGAAAAAGCTGGAGGGAGAAAGAGAAAGAGAAAGAGAGAGAGCGAGAGAGAGAGAGGAGAAAAAGGGGGAGTAAAAAAATGAAAAAAAAAGAAGAAAAATGTGATTTTTCTCTCTCTTCCTCTCTCATTCTCACACTTTCTCTGTTTTTTTTTTCACTTTAACTCCCTTGAATAAACATTATCATTATTATTGTTATCATTATTATTATTATTATTATTATTATTAAATGGAAATATATTCGATCGATAAGAATGAGAATTTTTTTTTTTTTTAAATTTATACGTTATAATAATTAACGACTCGATTTTATTCTAACGGTTTTTAGTTTAACAATTATATAGCAATATAGCAGATCTATATTGCTATATATAAAAAGAGAGAGAGAGGAGAAGAGAGTGAGAGAGATAGTAAATGTTTTTAAAGTTTATAGAGTGAAAAAAAAATATAAAAAAAAAAATTTTTTATTTTTTTCATTTCATTTATGCCCTCATCGTAAAAGCTTTCATCACGCCATTTTTTTTTTTTGTTTCATTTTTGCAGTCTAGTGCTCTTCTTCTTCTTCTTCTTCTCTTCTATTTTTCTTATTCTTTTACTTCTTCTGCTTTTATGCTTTTATTCTTAACCCAATTTTTTTTTTATTTTTCCTTACTCTTTTACCACTTATCCCGAAACCTTTTTTTTCTATTTTTATGAATTATCTTTGCTGACAGAAAAAAAAAAGGAGGAAAATCTTTTGTTTTATATATATATAAATGTGGTTAAAAATAAAAATTTATTTTATCGATCGTTTTTAACGTTATTAAAAAAAAAATTTAACGTGAATTTCTTATTAATAATAATAATAATAATTTTTTTTATGGGAAAAAAGAAAA